CAGGGGAGTCCGTAGTGATCCATGGAAGGGAGTTGCCAGTGGATTTGATAGTGTTTGATATGCCCGATTTTGACGTTATTTTAGGCATGGATTTCCTGGGGAAGATTTGGAGTAGAGATTGATTGTCAGAAGAAGAAAGCAAGATTTAATCTTGATGATGGAGATAAGTTTAGTTTTGGCGAGGGTCACCAGCTTAGTATGTTAATTAGTAGTATAAAGGTCAGAAAGATGCTAAGAAAATGGTGCTTAGGGTATATTGCTCATGTAGTGCACAGTAGTGATGTTCCACAACCAGAGATTCATAATGTGCCAGTAGTCCGGGAATTTTTAGATGTATTTCAGAAAGATTTATCAGGTTTACCTTCGAAAAGAGAAGTAGAATTCAGTATTGAACTAGCACCAAGGACCATACCAATTTCTAAAGCCCTTTATCGGATGGCCCTAGCTGAGCTTCAAGAATTGAAAAAGAAGCTTCAGGAACTCTTAGACAAGGGTTTTATTCAACCTAGCCATTCTCCTTGGGGTGCTCCAATTTGTTTGTGAAGAAGAAAGATAGATCTCTACGGATATGTATAGATTACAGAGAGTTAAATAAAGTGACAGTGAAGAATAAATACTCGTTGCCTCGCATAGATGATTTGTTTGATCAGCTGAAAGGAGCAGCCATGTTTTCAAATATTGATTTGAGGTCGGGTTATCACCAAGTAAGGGTCGTAGAGCCAGATATTGCTAAGATTGCTTTTCGGACCAGATATGGGCATTATGAGTTTGTGGTGATGCCTTTTAGATTAACCAATGTCCCAGCAGTCTTTATGGACTTAATGAACCGAGTGTTTCAGGATTGTCTTGATCGATTCATAGTGGTGTTTATTAATGATATCCTGGTTTATTCTAAGATAGAAGAAGAGCATGAAGAACATTTAAGATTTGTGCTCCAACGATTGCGAGATAAGAAGCTATTTGCCAAATTTTCTAAGTGTGAGTTTTATATTATGTAAAGATTTGTATATAAAAAAAAAATTAGTTATGGGCCCATTATTTTATCGTCATCTATATGTATATTTTCTTATATATATATATATATATATATATATAGTGAGTTTTACTGTTATTTTCCGAGTATACTAGCTAGAGAGAAAGTATTACAACTTACATGAGAGTCCATAAGGAGTAATGAATTCAGACTATCATTCTTTTCAATTCATAGTTCATATTTTTGCAACAAAAATTGGGCTTCTAGAATGGATATAGAATCAATTCTGGACAATAGGCTAAACACAACAGCATCGAATTCAGGTCCTAATCCATCCAAGATGTATGATAGCAAGTCTTTATCAGACACTACTTGATCACTACTTGACAATTGATTAGCAATTTTTTTTTCATTTTTAGAACATATTCACTAACACTTAGGTTCTCCTTAGTTGTAGATTGTAACAGACTTCTCAAATGCATCATTTTTGCCTTAGACTCAGAATGAAATTCTCGTTCTAGAGTGCACCAAATTTCAGATGTTGAAGTACACTTTGAGATATGACCAAACATTGATTCAAAAATTGAGGCTAGCAACCAACTAACTAGGGCTTTATTAACTCGTTTCCAGATTGTATAGTTAGGGTTTGGAACTTTCTTGAACAAGATCGATTCACTAGAATTATAATCAATACTCTCAATTTTTTCATTAATAAAAGGAGAAGGACTTGGATCTAACCCAATGAGACGATCCTCGGGCTCATTAGCTCCAACAGCGAACAATACTTGAGATCTCCAAAACCGATGATTGCCTTTGATCAATTTAGGCGAAATTGCTTGAAGATTTGTAGATTGCATGACTCGAGCTGATGTAGAGGACATATTCTGCACTTTTTCAAAATTGTTTGATTGCTAAGCAAATGAAGAAAAATCAAGTTTGATGTTTGTCATTGGCTCTGATACCATGTGAAGATTTTTCTAAAATTAATTAGAAGAAAAACAGAGAACAAAACAAAATTGAAGTGAAGAGAAAACTGGGATTTTCATTAACTAATTGGAAGAATGTGTGTGGCTCTTTTATATAGCCGTTGATACAAAACATTGCGTTTCTTACAAACTTTGATTTCTGACACTTTAACCTAGAAAAACTACAATTTAGTCCTAACTATTTTCCGATATTACATTTTAAACCAGACTACTCCTAAGCTTATATCTTGACATGTAGAGATCAATGCTTGTTGCTTCGGGGAGATGATTATGAGAAGAAAACTTGTACATGTTTGTGTGTTGTAAATTGAAGATAGGTAAAATTTATTAGAAGTGTGCTTGCAAGTACAAATTAAGGCAACTGATTGATCACAAGAATATTAGATATATGATTATTTTTGTTATGCATGTGATAAAGAGGTTATTTCCCCGTGCATAGAGTCGCCATATTTTTTTGGGTAAAATGCAGCTATTGTTATAGCATAAAACTTCTGGAAAGACCTTAATAAAACTTAAAAACTTGGTTTATATTCTCCACCTTTTTGGGTCGTTGGCATCCCTCAAATCTGAGCAACACTTTTTCTGGCCGATCGCATCTTTCTGGCAGCTTAAAAAAATTTAGACTTGACCACTTCTTTTAGAAATGTGGAGGATTAATGTGGCTGATGTGGCTATGATATGGCAAAGGCTCTTTCACACAAAACTTAAAGTGTAAGTCATCACCCTTTGTAACTTGCAAATAACAGTGGGAAAAGCCGGCCTTAGACTTTTCCTGTCGTTTCAATCTTTTATAAGGAAAGTTGCTTCAATATCCATTGTTTAATGCTGAGACGGGCATTTGGAAAATAAAGGCGGGAGCTTTAATGGCTGGCCCTACTGCCCATTCACTTACACCTCAGAATGTTGACGAGTGAAAGGGAAAAGAATGCCAAAAAGATAGAAATATATCCAGATATGCATATGATCACTTGATCGTGGCACATGAGTTGTGACTTGTGAGGATCCTCTTGTCTTTAACTGACCAATCAACTAAAACTTCATTGCTCTTTTGTCAAAGGTGGTTTCTCTTCCTCTTGTCGCACTTTGTGATCCTACAGTTAATTAATCAAACATTACTCCGCTTCTAGCCCGCAATATGTGATAAAATTAAGGACAAACCTTACTGCGTGACTTATATTATTGCATCTGAGATGAATAAGATAATAAGTGTATATATATGTATAATTTAAACTCTCTATCAATTTGTGTGTGAGTAGGATACTTTGTACAATTCCGAAAACCAAGGAGCTACCACCCATATTTTTTATTACAATTCTCATGCATGGATGATGTTTATATCTTTTTTTTTTTTTTTTTTTTGGTATCCAGGAATGTCCGAGTCAACTTGTATGCACCTCAACTAATCCCCCGAAGTTAGGAAGTTAACAGCTAGGTAAGTCCTTGATGGCTACCCCTTATTAATAGTCGTTAGGATTCAAACTCAAAACGGATCTTGAGTAATACACCCAAGAGTCCAAAGTGAACTGTCATACTACCTAAAGATCGTTGATGTTTATATCTTTACTGTGAATTTTTTTTACAATTTATCATTAATTGAAAATAGAGTGTCTAGCTAGTTTGTTCATTAATTCACAATAAAGTAGAAGAAAGAATAATGTACATCCAAAATCGATGACAGATTCTAGAAATTTTATTCGCTTAATTGCTTACAATGTCATTCGTGAGAATGCTAGAAAAGTGCCCTTCTGTTTGAAGATTTAATCATATGACTAAATCACCGAAAGAGGACATGCATATTATCCAACATCATTAACAGTGATACGTATATTAACTTTATTATGTAAGCAGTAAGCTACTTGATTGAAGACGTCTGTTTCTCTTTTTCTTTCTCTTTCTTATCTAAGAAAGAAAAAAGGGAGTTGCATCACAAAGCTAAAATGCCAGATCGGAAAGTTACAATGCCCAAGCATCATCAGAGAGAGTTGGTATAAGAAAAAAGAAGCAATGCATGTTGCTTAGCTTTCCTGCTTGGAAGGGTTGCATGAATTAAAGCTTACCAACTAATTAATTAATCAAACATACTTTATTAATTTCCTCGACTTCATTTGCAAATGCTAACAATTTTCGTAGGTTATAAACAAAAGCAACAAATTATGTTGAAAATGGCGCTTTAAACTTCCCTCTAATATCTATTCTAACCACCAAACTTTGAACAATGTAATTTTTGAATAATTTCACCGATTTTAATCAAACAATTCTGTCATTTTCTTTTGAAATTTGAGGAAGCTAGTCACCTGCATTGATCCAATCTTCTGATTGAATAATCTGCTGAACTTTAGTCTTATTCGTTTTAATTTATTGAATGAGCATCTATCAATGAGGTTAAAAACCTTGGCTTTGGTTTTGAAGAATTATTTAAAACTCCATTGATCACTCCAAATAAAAAATATATAAAAAATTCAATGGTACTATATCATACCAAACTAACTTTGATATATATAAATTTAATAAATTAATGATGTGCCAATGATATGGTTTACTTTGTATTATGCTAAATTAATAAGTGTTGTATTACCCAATCGTAAGTAAATTGATTATTGTAAGGTATGCTTTTGCAAAATCCAAATAATATATATATATTCTAAAGAAAAGTCAGTTGGCCAACTCATCTTCAGGGCCAATCTTTTGTGCTGATTTAAGTTTGATTACATGGGACGATCGATGTCTTACTGAGGAAGAATAAAATTTTCAATAATATTCAAATCCAACTGTCTTTTAATCTTTTAAAAATGTCGAACCAAAAATTGGACCTTTCTACAATATTATCTATTTCCTTAAAGCTATCTCAAATACACCTATTTTCTGCAGACCAAATCTTTTAAGAGTCATTGCTTTTGCATATGCTTATGCCTTTACTCGTATTCATGTGGCAAACATGACTCATGCAACCAAAAAGTAGATTTACTTGCTATGTTTAACATTCAATCTCCTTTAAATATCACCACCACACCATTTCTTGCAGACATAACACAAGTTAAAGAAGTTAGAGACAGAAGAACGTACGTAAAATCTAGCTATTCATTTGGAGAAGATGAAAAGCCCACTTTACGAACAAGTTATGGGTATTCCTGTTAACTCAATTGTTGCTGCATACTCGGTTACGACCTCATCCGCATCAATCAAATATTTACCTGAATCAGCTGCCCAATACCATATTCGTGATTCTTCGGCCAACGGGTCTCCAACAAATAAAAATAGTAACATATCTCTCTCGTCTCTCTTTGAAATATGCATATACGGATTCATGAATATCAGGGATCCTGATGAAGGAGCTTTAGTAACAGAACCGTTTTGATATTGCAGGAAAAGTGGATTCGGTTCTCGAAAAAATGAATAAGCTAGGGAAGAAAGCTGATAAATTTGCACACGGAGTCAGAGAACATGGTAAGTGATCGATACATTGATGGTTGCTAAATTTAATTACAAGTATCATGCATAAAGCTAAATACGTTTTAATTGCTATGAAACTGCAGTTAGACTGGCGCCAAAGATTACTGAAACTGTAAAGGGAAAGTTGAGTTTGGGTGCAAAAATTCTGCAAGTAGGTGGGGTAGAGAAAATCTTCAAGCAGCTATTTAATGTTGGGGAAGGAGAGAATTTATTGAAGGCTTCTCAATGCTATTTGTCAACCACAGCAGGCCCGATAGCAGGCCTCCTCTTTATCTCCACAAACAAGGTTGCGTTTTGCAGTGAGAGATCATTGAAATTCTATTCAAAGAATGGAGAAATTGTTAGAGTTCATTACAAGGTTTTGATCCCACTTGAGAAAATAAAGAGAGTAAATCAAAGTGTAAATATGCAGAAGCCATCACAGAAGTACATGGAAATATGCACTGTGGACGATTTTGACTTCTGGTTTATGGGTTTCTTAAACTATGAGAAGGCTTTCAAGTACCTTCAGCAGGCAATTTCCCAGAGCGTAGATGCTTTACAAGTCAATTATTAGTTGACTTAGAAATTTTTCTTCCCTCTGCTTCATCAGAATATGTAAATTTTTGAAGTGAGGAAAGTTAATACGGTTACGATCAATGTACATTTTTTGTTAATTATAACAATATATATGCTCTTCAGTTCAACCATTATTTATGTCGACTATATTATGAATTTGGAAAGAGTGAAAATACACTAGAACAAGCTAGACTTTAAAAAGCACGATTCCTACTTTTCTCTGCAGAAACAATAGAGCTGTGGCAGAAAAAAAAAAAAGGTGTGAAATCACCACTTAGTCATGAATCTCATATCAAATGGAGTGCATAGCTAATATTGGATACAATACTTCAATTTATAGAAACACGTTGAAGACAATTTTAAATAAAAAAATTGAATAGGAGCACCAAATTCCATCTTCCAATAACATTAAAATTTTAGTATTTACAATTTTTACTGAAATTTTTATATCATATCATTGTTTAAAATTACCCTCCTCTAAACCAGTCCACCATTGGGTACAGAGACAATATAAATGCAATCATCTACCTCATTCACTAAGCCACTAAAATATATATATATATATATATATAAAACCTCTCTATAATAATAATCTGTATAAGATTAACTTCCATGTGTAATCATAACAAATTTTGGTCCCAACTTGGACCAATTATAAATAAGAATAAATTTCACATTGTAATAAGTTATAATTTTTCTAGATCCCGTCTTAAGGAACTTATCTTTACATAATAATAATTATATGTTTATTGTAAAAAAATATATGTTACATTAAAGGTTTAAGATGAAATAAATTATTTATCTAAAGTTGTTTGAGGTGGCAATGCAAACCCTATCGCTAGATTGTCGACAATTGACAGGGTCAATGGGTAGGGTTTGAAAAGTTTTTATGAGTTATAACTAGGGAAGAGAATAATGGTGACGTGAGATCATAATGATGTTGGAATCGAAAATAAAATATAAATTTAGATTATAAAATAGTATTTTAAAAGTTTATGAATAAAAAAGTGTTATTAAATTATTATTTGGATGGATTTTTTTTGATAATACATATGTAGTTTGTCATGAAATAATCAGCATTAATTATTTTCAGTCTCATTAATTGTTCACTAGGATTAGATATGCAGGATTTGTTTCTAGGTATTGTCAACTGCTAACTCCCTTTATATATATATAATGGATTTTCTCAACTGCTTTCTCTACATAAGCCAATACTTGTTGAATACGTGTTAATAATTTGAACCCCAAATCTTATACTTAAAATTTGTGGTCTCATAGAAGTTAGAAGCACGTGGTAGGGTAATGGGGTGGCACTAAATATTAGCGTCCTCAGTCACCAAAGTGTCAAAGCCGGCCTTGTATTATATTCTTAATTTAAGCTGAGTTGGTATTTGGAAAAAGATAGAATCAGAAGACGTTTGATTTGCTTGGCTGAATTTAGACCAAGTCCAAATAGATTTTTCTTTTGGTCGGGACGTTCTACCTAGTAAAAGTGAAGTGTCATTATCTTATCTTATATTAATTGGTTGATCCAACGCATTCTCTTTTTCTTATACAATAGTCTAGCATCAGAAAGTTAAATTGCCAGCTCAAAAAGTTAGAATCACACATCAACAAACCATATATGGGAAACGGATGAGGCATTACGTGGTGCCTATTGGGATTGTATTATTCAAAAGCTGTGTCAACTAATTACCATTTTTTTTATATATCCTAAGAAGACCTACCAACTCCTTTGATTTTCTAAAGATTTCATCTCCACAAAATAACAACAAAATTTTTATACACCAAACATGGTTTTTATTCCTTAGTTTATAAGTAAATTGTCATGGAATTTATTAGTTCATGGACTATAATATTGGAAACTATTTTTACCACCATCAAGTGATGAATTTATAACATTAACACTTAGATGCTACAAAATAACTTATAAATAAATAATAATTACACGTTTCAAGAGAATTTCTAAAATCCCGAAATTTATATCCTAAAGTGATATGTTATTTTATATAGTATTGATATGATAATGTAAAATAAAATGATACATCACTTCAAATAAGAATTTTGAGAGAAACCCCTTTTAATACATTATCCAACCATGAAAAAGCTAATGGTAATTATTCATGTATTTCTATTAGAATTAGGAAATGTAATTTGAAAAAAATTAAGAACAGTGGGTTCAAAATATGTATTCTTAAAGCAATAAGAAATCTTTAAAATATATAGATATCTAGTCAATGTGTATGCCTTTACTCTTTGAGGAGTCAGAGATGACTCATGGACAAAAAAGTTAGTTTAACTAGCGCACCTCAATAATGCCTTTAAATACACTTCCATAACACAAGGATTCTTCAACCTGCAGATTCAACAGCCTCTCACAGACACCCAACAACAACATTCTGCAATCTACAGCAGTTGTTGCAGACACAAAACCTAAAGAAAGAAGGTTCAAGCTACGAAGAAGCTAATTAATTCAGCTTTATACTCATCAAATATGAAGAAAACACTTGCAGAACAAGTTATGGGAATTTCAATCGCGTCAACTGCATACCCTTTTAAGAGCTCACCGAGAAGATTATTACCTGAACCTGCAAGCCAAGACCTTGTTCCATCTTCTGCAAATAAAAGGGTGCTTAAGCTTGGGAAAAAAGCTAACAAATTTGCCCTTGGAGTTCGAGAGCATGGTAATTAATTATTTCTTAATTTTGTTTAATTTATATGTGACTATGAATCATGTACAAAGTTGATGATTGATATTGATCTGACATTTTAGTGTTTTTGCAGTGAGATTGGGACCAAAGATCACTGAAATTGTGAAAGCAAAGTTGAGCTTAGGTGCAAGAATTCTTCAAGTAGGAGGAATGAATAAAGTGTTTAAGAAATTATTTAGTGTTGGAGAAGGAGAGAGATTGTTAAAGACTTGCCAGTGTTATTTATCAACAACAGCTGGTCCTATAGCAGGTCTCCTATTTATCTCCACTCACAAGGTTGCCTTCTGCAGTGAAAGATCAATTAAATTCTCTTCTCCAAATGGGGAATTAATTAGAGTCCATTATAAGGTATATAACTCAAAACTATTCATCTTGTTACTTGTTAGCAGTCTCTTTCTTCTTAAATGGCAATATGTGTCTCTCTTTATGATTCCTAACGTTGCTCGATATTGTCAATTAATTGCAGGTGGTGATACCAGTAAATAAGATAAAGATAGTGAATCAAAGTGAAAACGTGAAGAAGACATCACAAAAGTACATAGAGATAGTGACAGTGGATAATTTCGATTTCTGGTTTATGGGTTTCCTAAATTATCAGAAAGCATTAAAACAACTCCAACAGGCAATTTCTCAAGCTCAAATCAAGTGCTAGCACATCTTGTGCCCTATGTTTCATCGAATGTAATTAATAAGCGAAAGAAGGTCAACCTGACCAGTTGATTGCAGATAGTGTACATAATTTTGATAGTGAAAATGCTCATTTCTTTATCGTCATTGTCTATCTCGAAGAGAAACTTTACTTTGTAGTAGTGGTTATTGAATTGTAATTCAACAACCACGTTAGACTGTATCTCTCATTGCCATTTAATGGATCTCATCTCCACCTTCTGGCGCAATTTGTGGGTCAGTTTAAGTTCTTTATGTATCAATTACTAGTATTTTGCTTGCCAATGACTAACAGATGTTGTGATCATACAAAAGCAACGGTTGCCCTCGATGTACTAAGGCCAACATGTTCATGAACTTTCACGTTGTCAGTTGTCACTACGTATATAAAATTTACATGGAGATGGAAAGGCGTAAAAGCAATGTGAAAATTCTAGCTTTCCTTTCATTTTCAGCAATCAGAACTACATATGACATTGACTGTAAAAGGCGAACTCTTTTTCTCCAGGGAGTCAGAGCACTTCAAGTGAGGAACTTCTAGTTTAGATTGGTAAAGTTCAAAAATCGGAAAGTTTTTAAGCACTTGAGGACTTTGGTGAACAATCAATCGTTAGAATAAAACTCTTAACATATATAGTTGGAGTTGTTCAGAAACCTCCTAAAGTATACAGTTGTTGATAGCATGTTAGAATTTGTCAGAAAAAAATAAACTCAATTCCCATGTTTCTGAATGCAGAGATGACAGTCACAGTATCTGAAGGCTTTCCGCGGTTGGTGAAGTCGAAGCATCAATTGGACCAGGATTTTCAAATTACTTGGGGGCTCTGGCACTGCAGTTGCTTTAACTTGTTCATAAGCCGGCACTGTACTGATTTAATTCCTGCCCCCTTTTGACATCATCACTCACAAGCACCAACTAATAATATATACAATTGTTCCCAACACGTCCTATGAGTTATACTCGAAATGCTCACACGTGTTCCTTATCGTGAAGTCCATCTGGAAAATTGAGTGAAGGAAATCCAACCCAAATTGTACAGCATTCTCAACGCTATCAATTCCAGTGCAGTTGGCATCTAAGCAACTAGACATCAAATTAATTTTTAATAGAACCAGTAGGCAGCTAGGTTAAAAACGCATAGGAACGTTTTGGTTTTCCAGTATTCTAGCAAGGGACAAAATTGTAGCTTATCAAAACCAGCACAGAATAATTTCTTCAGCAATTTGTGCTGGCACAACTCTGTTATATTCTTTAATATCACTAAATATCATCTGAAAATCCAAACAACTTATAGACTCCCCCAAAAAAGGAGGTAGTTCGAAGAGAATATGTTCGGTAGAAAATTGAAAAGATTCACTAATTGAACAGATGAACCTGTCCAGCAAATCATTGAACTTTGGGTCGTGTCGTGTCTAATATCGGCATCAGTGCTAGCTGGAATACTTTACATACCTTCACATGGTCGACAGAGAAGTCATCTGCAGTGTGTACCTAACAAACTCCAACATCTGGACCCGGACTTCTCATCATGGCCACAAACTTTTAATCATGGAAACACCAGAGGATGACAATTAAGAAACTCAAAAGATATATATTAACCAATTTGATTAGACTCAAGTACTCAATAATGGTAAAAGTAAGCCATTTTGTTTATGAAGTTCTAGATCAGCTCCTCCAAAGAGTTTACTCTCAAACGACATAAAACTCCATAATTGAACTCTGTTGAGGCAAAT